CAGTTGACAAGACCAGTAAGAAATGAAGAACGTTAGCGACGCAAGAGAGGCAATCAGAACTCCCACAACTGTTGAAGCAAGAGCTCTGTCGAACTTGAAGATATACAACGCGGAGATGGCACACCATTTCCCTACACCAAAAACCAGTACACATCTACAGAGCTACGCATAGAGTTTAACACCAGGTAGAAGTCAGAAAGGTACCAGAAGCCACCAGGCTGTCAAGTTGCATTGCAGATGCTCCGCTTTACGAGACGGAAACGCAACACGAAGAGCCGAGTAGTCGCGTGTTGTGTTTATTCTGCTCCACCTTCACGCAAAGAAATCATGTGGAATGTGTACTGAGATATTTGCATTTCAAACTTGGCCATCTTCTGACGACCTGCTCCCAAAATTAATGAAGTGATGTCCTGCAGATATGTATGCATTTTCTGCGTGTGTTTCACAACACAGACATGCTCATCGCCGCATAGAAACCTGGACCCTAAACACGGGGAAGCTGTAGACGCTAGCCTAGGCACTTGTTCTTTATGCGCAGTATTTTCCGGAGTGTACACAAGCCACACAACTCTTCATTTATTGCCTCGTCTTCCATTATACCCTTAACATGCTGGCACGTGTCTTAAACGGGTGGAGCGTGTGCATACAAACACAGAGCATGTAGAAGTGCACTGTGTAGATCTACCGTGAACACACCAAAACGCATGCAATCAGACTTTGTAGTGATTTCCAAAACCACTACTGTATACTATGCTGAACAAGGCAAGTTGGTTGCATCCAACTACAACAGGCAGATTTCAGCAGCTGATTGCGACTCAACTGCCCGAAACAGTCACTGCCACTTTCACCCAAAAGGCAATGTGAAGCCTGCACTCAAAGAAGTCCGCAGCATGCCCATGCTCGCTTACTATACGAGACCTCTGGTCGGCTGAGCTTGATGGGCCTCACCACCACACTCCATTATTCACCCCAGTGTCTGGAGATACGTGGATTTTGTAGAAATAACCTACTGTAAAACGGGTAACGTTTGCGACAATAAATGTTTTCGCTTTACAAATTGAGACTGGTTTGCGCTGTTTAATGTTTGCGATTGAATACATATGTACAACATACATTGTACGACACAGTCGAGTCAGTCCTTGCACTGAACTTAACATGGCGCGAGTTTGCGTTGTCTAAAGTTTGCGATTCGGGGCCTCTCGCAAAATTCGCAAACATTTTTACGTCGCAATAGTTACTAGTACCCGTTTTACAGTATACTGCCCCCCCCCCCCTCCCCCCCCCGCTCCCACAGGGTCATGGCTCATGCTAGTGCCACTCAATCTGTGGCCTTCTGCCAGAAGGCTTCACCTGCTTTCTCTGTTTCGAGTGTTGCTCATTCACCAATGAAAATCAGCAGTCTATTGGAGACTTTACCGACTTCTGTGCATGTGACGATGGGTGCATATTTGGACTGTTCATCAAGCAGTCATTACTCAGTCCTGAGCTTGGTAGTTCATGCCATCATGGGTGATGAGGACACACGGGCCACACTGACAGCCACGAACATGTTTTACGTTTTGAAACCGGTTATCGCTTGAGTATGCCGGTCAGTTGCAATACACAGATCTACAAGCACACATTCGTACTGGATGGAGAGAGGCAGAGTGTTCTCTCGCTCGCAGGTGGAAAGTAATTAGTTGGGAACAAGTCCGAAATCGCAACATCGCCTACACATGTACGAGAAGAAATCTACGGTAAGGCGTCCACCGTACTTCAATGCCACGAGTGATCTACCATATCCCACGAGTGCTTGCAAAAACACACATGTACGTGTCGTGATATCGGCAAAGCACGAGCACTTTGACAACAAACAAGATGAAGAAAGGATAACACCAACACTACACAAACATTATAGCAGTGTAGATTTTCCACTGGTGGCAAATAAAATTTCTGGTGAGGTACCAGATGATGGGTTCCAACTGTTACTTCCAAGGGATTCCCCGGATAATGTCATTCATCTGCTTTGCCACATGTGGCACCACTGGCCCATTGCCATGGTCTTCAGACAATCCCCACCGGTGCACCGAGCAACACAAAACACAACAAAACTTATCTACCAATTTTACGCCACCATAAGGCACACTGTACGATCTCACCTCTGAGCCATTCTACGACTTGTGTTGCAGTCCACTTGGAGACCAACATCGCCTCCTAGGCTGCGTAGCTGGAAGCCAGGTCACTAATGTCAGTAATAATATTCAGCTAAGGTGGTTGACCAACGACGAGAAGAGACGTTTACTAAAAAATCTGAAATTGCTCCTCGTACAGCCCCCGGCGCAATCTGAATTATTACTATTATCGCAAAGGGGTACTGACTCTCAGCAAAAGGTCAGTGTGCTTTTTAATAGAAAGAAACATTAGAGGAAACAGAGCAGCAAGTACAGAGTACTCTATTCTCTAAACTGATCTGCTGCAATGAGACAGAATTATTAGAATGTCACGCTCTCGCTCTCACTCAGCTCAGCTTTCAAGTAATGTTGAGAGCTCAGGCTCGACTTTGGCATGTCAAATCTTGATTATGGCCTGGATCTGCATGGAGGTAGATCGACTACAATCATGTAGTACAGCTCACCGGGTGACCGGGTTCACACACTTCACACCTGTGTTATGTGGGTTACTGACCATGCTGACACTGCAGTACTGACTCACTGCATGCACTGGCTCGTAGTCTAGTCGTAGATCTACACGGTACTCGTACGATCTCCAGCCTCTCCACACACTACCAAGAGTCCATAATCCCCCGGGGAATATGGACTCTTGACACTCGCCACCAGGTCACCATGGTCACCAGGTCACTACAAATCAAGAGTTCTCTTGCTTGTACCGGTGCTTTTAGTTGTAGCCGGTGACCACACTGACCAGGTGATTTGGGCACCCAGGAGCACGTGACCGCTTGTTCAACCATTCGATTGGGACGAAGGCCTCGGTCTACGGCAAAAATGCTGCGTCAGCGTCAGAATCATGAGCTTTTCCATGGCAACTGACGCAACGCGGGAAGTTTGAGCGTCAGACGCTGCGTCAGACGCTGCTGCGTCTGACGTGGGGAAATGCTGCGTTGCCGCTGATGGGAGTGACGCTTGGCGGAAAAACAGTGTCTTTCAAGTAAAATTAGTTTCAAGACACTTTGCTTGAGTTGAGCAGTCATTCGATATTCGTCTGTTCAAGGTTTGTTTTGTTCCCTCTTTTTGTTCGAGATGAGTCCGTGGACCTACGAGGCCGAGGTTGCTCTGCTCCGAACCTGGCGGAAGAGCGAGGCGTTTTCTGAGAAGAAAATGATGTCGAGAAAGGACCAGTTGTTCGAGTGGGTTATCGGCCAACTGGAGCCTGTTGACTTGTGAGTGTTGTGTTGCCGTCAAGAGCCCCAAAAAGGACAACCAGTATGACCAAGTCAGGAGAAACACAGCTGCGATGCGGACTTTTCTTGCCTGATCAATGACACTACAACTGAAAATGGCTTCAAATTCGGAAAGAAACAACAACGATCGTGCACGCGTGGACCTAGTACCTTTCGTCTTCTTGTAATCAAAATCAATGAAAAATTCGAAAACTTTGTCCGACAATTTTTTTGTATAATAAGCAAAAGGCCGGTTTCCGTGGGAATCCGTGTCGTCATTGAGTTTTCCTTGTGGTTTTGTGACGTAGACAAATGCGTCAAGCCGCGGCAGTCATGTGCTGCAAAAAAAAACAAAACACTGTGTGACCCCACGTCTCCGTCAAGTGCTGCGGCTTGACGCTGCGTCCAGCTTCAAACTGCCGTACGAGTCGTAGTGTGACCGAGGCCAGCGGCAGCAACGTGAACAATACTACGGCGGCAACACGACGACTTCTACAACACAAAAAAACGAAAATTATAAAAATCCTACCAACCCATAGAGTAACGTATAACGAGGGTCCGAACCTGGGTTTTCCCGGTTCAGATGGTCGCAAGACCGGGACTCTGCCAACCGGGTTATGGTTGTAGTCAGGAGCACTACGTGTCCTCGCCTTGTAACATGCTGTCAAAATCGAAAAACATATCCGAACTGTTGTAGTCCGAGCAACGCAGAGACTTGGAGCCTTTTTTTTTCTTTTTCTTTTTTTGAACTTTGTTTTACTTCGCAAAATCCAAACGGGAATTTCTTCCCAATGACAAGGTACGCGTAGCGAAGATCGAGAAAAAAAAGGAAAGAAAAAAGTGTGTATGACTGGAAATGATAGTCAGCTGGAAATCGGATCCATTGTCAAACATGGCATTTGCTACTGTTGCATGTAGTCAACGAGCAATTGCGTAGGGTACTGCTGCAGCTTTGAAGGTCTCCAGCGTTGTGCTGGAGCCGACGTCTCCAGGTAATCTGTTCCATTTACCTGTAGCGTTGAAGGCGTACCTCGACTTGCCAGCGTTTGTTCTTGCAACTGGAAGACTGAGTCCGTCCTGCTGCTGAAGGCGGGTTTCTCTGGTCATTTGTGGAGTCATTAGTTCTGTGACGGACTGCGATGTCTCACCGAGTAGGCTCTTCCACACAAGAGCTAAGGTGTTCTGGTGGAAGTGCTCTGACACCTGGAAAACTCCCAGGCGGGTCAGCAAAGGTTCAGCTGAGTGTCGCGTGGGCACACCGTAGACAGTGCGGACTGCTCGATTTAGCAGAACCTGCAGCCTCCTGGTCTCAGCACTCGACAGTGAGCCACTGAAAGAGGGCGAGGCGTATAGGGCGTCTGGCAGTACTACGGATGTCACGTACCGGTACCGTGCCCTTGCAGCTTCACTGAGGCCGCGGCGTGCGCGCCAGAGTGCTCCGATTTTCTGAGCCATCTTGGCTGCCACTTTGTCAATGTGCTCCTTGAATGTTAAAGTGCTGTCCACGGTCACTCCGAGATACTTGACTGAGGAGGCTTCTGGGAGGGGTGTTCTGTCGCAGGTGACTTTGATCAGTGGTGTTGGCTGTTTGCGTCCGGCATACACTGCTAGGAGATGACTCTTTGTCTCATTGAGAATGAGGCCACGTTGACGTAGCCAGTCACTGAGCTTTGTGACTGCTGTGGAGAGATTAGCTGAGATGACATCCGTTGACGTGTGACTGAATTGAACCTCAATGTCGTCAGCAAATTGGATTGACTTTGCTAGCTTTACAACCGATGGGACATCCCGGGTATAGACACTGAACAGCAGGGGGCCAAGCACAGAGCCCTATGGAACACCACATGTACACGGCTTCATGCCACTTTGGAGGGTGCCAAATCGGACATACTGCTGTTGGATGCTGAGATAGCTGGCAATCCATGACAATGCCCTGCCAGTTACGCCAACCTCAAACAGATCCTGTATCAGGACATGGTGACGCACTTTGTCGAAAGCTTTCGACATGTCCAGAAAGCATGCACCCGTGTGGAGCTTCTGATCCTTAGCAGCAAGCAGACCATCTGTGAGTACTACAAGGGCCTGTTTGGTGGAGTGCCTGGCTCTAAAGGCATACTGTGTGACGGGCAGCACATTATTCGCCTGAATCAAGTCTGCCAGTTGTCGCTGAACCAACTTCTCCAGCAACTTAGACACAATCGGTAGAAGGGACACCGGACGGTAGTTGGTTGGTATTGAGGGATCGCCAGATTTGTACAGTGGTCTCACCAATGCCGTCTTGAAAGCTGAGGGGACGACGCCTGTAAATAACGAGACACTAAATATTTCACACAGAGGGAGGGTGCAAGAAGATCGGCACAGCTCTTCAGGAGCAGCCCTGGTATGCCATCACTCCCCGTTGCCTTCCGAGGATTAATCCTGCAAAGCAGTTTCAATACTGTGGCTACATCTGGGCACTGGAAACACTGGATACCGTTCCGGTCATGGGGGCCACTGGGGATCCTTGCGCAAGGCATTTCACTAATGTGAGCCGAGCCTTTCCCCACTCCGTCATCCCAATTTGGAACCAGCTGCCTTCCTCTATCATTCCCCACCCATTTCACCCAAAGAACATCCAAAAGTTCAAGACAGCAGCTTATCACCACCTCCTCAGAACGAACTGGCACTGGGCCACTCATAGCATACGCGAGTAAGAGGGCACAGTGTCCTACCTTGCTTGGACATACATGTAATCTCTCCTCACAGACAGTCTCCTCTTGAATTTAAAGGTCTAACAGCGTTCACATCAATACTCAACTTATTCTTTTGCTCACTGAGCAATACAATCTTTCCATTTCCTTTCTTCTGTTTTCTTTTTCAATTTAATCCTCCCTCCCCAACCTCCCTTTGGTACGGCCATGGAGCTATGACGCCGAGACCTCTGGTCGGCGGAGCTTAATGGGCCCCACCACCACACTCCATCGTTCACCCCAGTGTCTGGAGATATGTGGATTTTGTAGAAGAAGAAAAAATTAGCCTTTGGCGGATTATGATTATGCCGGCATAATATTTGGCATAATCTTGGAATTGTGTAAAAAAAAATATGCTCCGGCATAATATACGGATTCCAACGTGTAAGGTCGGCATAATCTTTCGGTTTAGACAAAAATTATGCTTAGGGGCATAATACAGCTTTGTCAGAAAGCAAGTTTTTTTTAAAATACCCCAGCTACGACTTCTTGTCATAGCTAGCCCTTGGCGGATTATACCGGCATAATAATTATTTGGCATAATCTTGGGATTTCGTGAAAAAAAATTGCTCCGGCATAATATACGGACTCCAACGTGTAAGGTCGGCATAATCTTTCGGTTTAGATAAAAATTATGCTCAGGGCATGGCCATGTGTGTATGCGTGGTTTCTCAATCCTCTATGTACAGCGTAAATACATAGTGGAACCGAGCATAATTCAGCATATTTGTTGGCATAATTGTAGCATAATCAAAAGCATAATTTGACGATTGGCCGAGCATAGTCCGCCAATGGCTACGCTGCATCGCAGCCTTTTCGCGACTTTCGGACCAAAATCAGTCGACTCAGCGTCCAAAAGACTACAACATATGGGCCGGTCATCCGTGCGAACGGCATGGCGCTTTTATTAGTGACATTTTGCATACAAATCCCCATCTAGTAGGGCGCAGTCACCCAGTTGCAGTGGGACTCGGAGTCGAGTGGGAGGTCGTAGCCCTTTGCAAATCTCAACTCCTGCCGTAGGCGCTATGCACTCACTTTATTTAGAGTGTAGTTCCAAAACAGGCCTAAACCTAATGACAATGGTCCCACTGATAATAAGAGAAAAGAAAAATATATAAAAAATAAGCGGACAAACAGAACAAAGAAGAAGATAAGTTGGATAACTAATATGAGCACGGCAGCAGGGGGAAAAAATGTCACAAGCACGGCAATCGGGAAGTAGATCTATGGGACAAGTATTAGTTATCAGTTGAAGATTTACGACATGAAAAGGCATGAGAGACTCGACCCCTCCCCTCCCCCCCCCCCCCCCCCAACCGATGATTGTAGAATCATGGCCAACCAGGTCCTCCTCTGCTGAGATCCATGCCCCCCCCCCCCCCACTCTCCTTG